CTCGCCCGCGGCCCTGACAAGCTGGCCCGCACCCCGGCCCCCGGACTAGCCCAATAAAGAGCGCAGAGCAACCACTGCTGGCCCTGTGTGAGGCATCTGGGCGTGAAGCCGGGGTAGGGGAAACTGAGGCCCAGAGCGAGACAGGGAAAGACCAGGTGTCTTGAGGGCAGAGCAACGGCCATGGCCTGGAGTCGAGGCTGTTTCTGCCTTCTCCTTCCTTGTGACCCAAGAGTCAGTACCCCTGCCCTGGGCTGGGGAGGGGGCACCCTGCCACAGTGGAGGGAGGCTGTTCCCTGCCTCCAGGCCCAGGTCAGACCCTGCAGGTCTGCAGGCCCAAGGGAAGTGAGCTTGCGCAAACCCAGATTTGGCCACGCGAGGAGGAGAGGTGCATGCTTCCAGCAGAGGCCAGGCAGCTCCAAGAGTTTCCAGCATTCACTGGTCTTTTTGAGGCTGAGGGAGAAGGTCCCAGGCTTTTGCTTTTTAGCCACCACCTTAGGGAAGAACTGTGACGGTCCATGATTTGAGCTTTAGAATCACATTCCACCTGTGAGAGCACCCAGGAGGAGAGGCTGAGGTCCCTGGTTCTCTCACTTCTGCTGCACTCTGCTTGGAAACCCCCAAGGCACCTCAGTTACCTGTCTCCTACCTACCCTGTCCCATCCCTCTCCCCACATTGCAGCCGCTGATCTAGAGGACATTTCACTCCCCTGCTCATAAGCTCATGCTGGTTCCCAACTGACCACAGGGAAAGGCCCAAGCTTATTATTGGGATGTGCAGGCCTAGCTCCCCAACCTCAGTCTTCCCCTCTGGGGCTTCTCAGCGACTTCCACCCTCACTCCTGGTCTGGCCATACTGTCACTTGTGGTCTTCAATTCAGCTTCTATTGAAAATACACTTTTGTCAGTGTCAGCCTCATCAATGTCCTGACCACATTACCTACATCAAGCTTGAGAATCCACTACCCACATAGCATCTCCTCTACTGCTTGTGAGAACTGACCCTTTCCTAACAACCACATGGTTACAATCAGGGTAAGCACATTCCTTAGTGTGGGGCACATCTCCTGGAATAAGTGATTGGCCCTAGCTGGTCCTATCAGTCCCTTCTCTGGGTCCGTAATTCAGGAGCTGTAAAAGGCTGTTTTCTACAGGAACATGCACAGGCTGAAACCAGCCTTCAGAAGATTATAAACACAATGCAGAGCCAATGGCTTCCCCACAGCCCTGCAGTCAGGCCCTGCTTCCAGTCTGTTCCTAAACCCTGATTTCATCCTGCCCTTGGTATCCATAAGACATACAAGATGCTTGTATAAAATCCCTATTTTAGCTTAAGCTCACCTCAGTGGGTCTTCAACTTGCAACCAGAAATGTCCTAAAGAAAATAAAGAGACTGCGGAGACAACAAGTGGCCGCTTTCCTGTAGGTGAGGATGACCACCTTTTAGAGGAAACAACTGAACCCAGAGAGGGATCCAGACTTGTTCAGGGTGCACAGTGAGTCAGCTTCAGAACTGAGTCACAAACTCAGGCCCACGTAAGACCATTTGCAGAAGCTGCTGTGAGCTGCCTGGGTCCCTGAAGGCTAAGCACACAGGTCTTCAGGGTGGCTGTAGATCTGTGATTAAGACCTTTCTCTTCAGCACTGAGAAGGGAGAGCCCACACATTTGGCCAGAGCACATCAGGTAATCTGAAATGGTTTGGGGATAGAATCAAACTGGTTGTTCTGAGCAGCTGAGGCCAGACCTCTGGATGTTAAAAATCGCCACCCTCAGCCCTGCTCCAGGAGAGAGGATATGTCTGGGGAGTTTTCATCAGAGTGGAGGGCTGCGGAAGCATGGCAGGTGCTGAGGACTGAGGTCACAATGAGTCCAATCCAAGTTCTTTTCCTTCTTTCTCTGACCACCCCACCCCAGCCCTACCTCCACAACCAGGAACTACAGTACTTCTGCCAAGCCCAGGTGAGAAGTGCCAGGAGCCTGCCCGGGGCTCAGGGGCTGGGCTGGGCTCCTGGGTCCCCAAGTGGGGATGTATGTCTGGATGACATTGTCACAAGGCCCCATAATTCCCAGAGCTGCTTCCGGAGGCTTCTCAATCTCTTAAAGGATTTGGCCCAGACTTATCCTCCATCTGAAGGGGCAGAGACGCACAGCAGAGGCGAGTCCTCAGAGACATGGTAGGGCCTTGAGTCAGAGGAGGGCAAAGAGGACCAGAAGCGGCCATAGCCCAGTGAGGGCGGGAACTGACACCTGAACCAGAAGCGGGGTCCTTGGGCCCAGGGAAGGAGTCCAAGAACTGAAAAGAGACATCCACTCGGTCCAAAAAAAGTAGGACCTCAGGACCAGACCGCAGAGACCAACAAACTGAGAGCAATAGCTATCTAATCCAGAAAGGCAGGGACGTAGGGCCAAGGGGCAGAGCCAAGAGCTGAAAGGCGGGCCTCCATCTAGGCCAGCGGAGTTGGGGTCTCAGGCCAGGGGCGCAACTGAGCCTCTGGGAGCAAAACTCTTGGCTGAAGGGCGTGGCCGGCCCGAAGGTGGCGTCGCTGTCCGGGAGCTGTCGGGTCCGCCGGCCGCCCTCACTGGGTCGCGTCGCCGTAGTAGTGGACCAGGGCTCGGGTTTCACCAAAGCGGGCTTTGCGGGCGAGAAGCAGCCGCGCCTGGTGCTGAAAAGCTCCAGCCTGGTGCCCAGCCGGGACCCGCCCGTGCTGCCCAAGGCGCCGGGCTGCGAGCTGGCAGGCAGTGTAGCGCGGACGCACCCCATCAAGCACGGCGTGGTAGTGGACTGGGAGGCCCTGGAGAGGCTGTGGGAGCGCCTGCTGGTGGGCGGCCTGCGGGTGTACCCAGAGCAGTGGCCGGTGCTGGTGAGCGACGCGCCATCGGCGCCGCCCGCGGGCCGCGAGAGGGTGGCGGAGCTGCTGTTCGAGGCCCTAGCAGTGCCCGCGTGCCACATGGCCAGCACCGCGTCGTTGGCGCTCTGCTCCGTCGGCGCGTTCAGCGGGCTGGCCGTGGAGGCGGGCGCGGGCGTGTGCCACGCCACGCCCATCTATGCTGGCCACTCCTGGCACGAGGCCACCTTCCGGCTGGACGTGGCAGGTAGCACTCTGTCGCGCTACTTGCGAGACCTGCTGGTGGCAGCATGCCCCGATCAACGGCTGCAGGCCCTGCCCCGCAAGGTCATCACACAGCTCAAGAAGCGCTGCTGCTATGTATCGCTGGACTTCGAGGGTGACCTCCAAAACCCAGCTCGCCACCATCCAGCCAATATCTGCTTAGGCAATGGGTGCTCTGTCTGCCTCAGCAGCGAGCGATTCCGCTGCCCAGAGCCCATCTTTCAGCCGGGTCTGCTGGGCCAGGCTGAGCCAGGACTGGCCACACTGGCCTTCCAGGCACTGCAGAGGGTGCCTGCAACACTACGCACACGGCTGGCCAACACCGTGGTGGTGGCCGGTGGCTCCACGCTTTTCCCTGGCTTCACTGAGCGCCTGGAGATGGAGCTGGAGACCCAGTCCCGGCGGCACGGCTATGGGGCACTGCAACCTCGCCTGGTGGCCAAGCCTGGGCGTGGCACAGCAGTGTGGACAGGAGGCTCCATGGTGGCCTCACTGCGCTCCTTTCAATGCCGCTGGATGACCCGGGCCATGTATGAGGAATGTGGCTCCAGACTGGTGCACGAAGTGTTCAACTGAGTCATCATGCTGGACTGAAGGGGGTGGTGTCATGAGGGGGGATGCAGAGGCAGACGCTCAGCAAGCTGAGCTGCAGCTCTATCAGAGGCATTGAGTACCAGATAAAAGGCTCAGTGATTGGAGCTGGCAGAGTTGTGTGGTGATGGGTACCCCCTGTCCCTTTCTGGACTAGGAGGAGGTGGTCAGGACTTCTGGGGACCTCCCTTTGACCTGCAGTTTGAATCCTCTGTAACCAGTGCCAGTACAGAGAATGCCAGTCTAGCTGCCCACCCATGGCAGTCCAGCTGTTTCCATGGCAACAAGGAAAGAGCTGCCCCCCTCCACTTGTGTCCAGGCTACAGATACAGAAGTCATCATAATACACCAAACCCTCACCATGTACTTTTCGGATTCCCATCCCATGCCAGGCCCCAAGGGGTGACCTTTTGAAAAGCTACTAAATCCCATGTGAAAGCAACCAGAAGGGGAAGCCCTGTCCCCTGCTGATTATCAAGTTGCTGAGGGCCTCAGTTTCTCCTTCTGTAAAAAGTGGGGTCACGCACAATCCCAGGCCCGCACACCACTCCTTCATTGCCCCTTGTTAAGAGCTATGGAACAAAGGGAGGTGGAGACATTTCTTAAAAGGAACACACAAATTGAGGGGCAGCTTGTGGTGTTTTAAAAATATCCAAAGGCCTGGAGCCCTGGCTGTGAGCACTGTTTATGCTTGTGTGCACGTGTCCATACACACACACAAACACGTGGGTGCACACACGCCTGCCTACTCACACGTGTCCTCAGGCTGTGCCCCCCCACCCCCCTGCTAGGCTCCACATACCAGCACCAGCTGGTGGGTATGTGCGAGCATGCCCTACCCTCCGGCCCATCCCTGCTGGGAGCTAGGCTGGATACCCCACAACAGTTAGGTCTGGTCAATAATCAGCAGCAGCAGCAGCAGCAGCTCCAGGTAGGAAGCGGCTACTGTGTGCCAGCCAGAGGTCTGGGTGCTGGGAACAGAGTAGAGAACTAGAAAGACAAAACTCCCTGCCTTCATTCTCATTTAATTGTCACAACAAATGTCTGGAGGCAGGCTCCATTATTATGCCCAGTTTACAGAAGAGGAAACTAGGGCCCAGAGAAGTAAAGATGCCCTGAGCCCAATGGTGGAGGCTCCCACAGCACAGCAGACACCCCCTGCCCTCATTTAGGACCCCTACCATCGGCCCCTCCACTCACCAGCTTGGTTGTGTCCATGGCAGTGAGAACTGCACAGTTCAGAGACTCCAGCGCAGCCAGCACAGGCCGGTAGACGCCCAGTCGTTCTGAGAAGTAGTCTGCGGGCAGAGGAGGCGCTCAAAGGTTCCCGGACCCCCACTCCCCACTTACAACCTGGAATTCCCCAGCAGCCAACCAGGCCCATATCCTGAGCCCAGTCCATCCTGTTCCATCCGGAGACCAGCAACAGCCTCTCGTCACACCCACCTGCCCAGGGGTCCCAGGAGGCAAGAGTTCCCATGGGCCTACTCACCACACAGTTTCTCCGTTTCCAAATTGCTGCAGGGAAAAGAGAAGGCACCCTTCAGACCTGCTAACTTGGGCCAGGTAAACCGGATCTTTGAAGCCAACATTCCTTCCCTCTCCCTGCCTGGCTCAGCCTGACGAGGAGGCGACTTCTAACTCCACCCCAGGTTAAGTTGCTTGGTGGACAGTGAGAGGGAGCAAGCACTACTGCCCCATCAAACACTCTCTTAGGGCAAAAATTCAGTCCTGCTCTTGGCCTCCAAGGGGATTTCAGGTCAGGGGAGACAGAGGTGAACAGAAGCCAGAGAGGAGTGGTCAGAGCTGGGAAGGGGAAGCCAGGTCTGTGGAAGTCCAGAGAAGGGGTCTTACTTGGTAGGCTAGGGAGGGCTTCCTGGAAGAGGGGCTGCCTAAGCTAGGCCTTAAAGGACAAGGAATTTGACTGGAGTGACTGGTGGTGGAGAGGTGGTAGCACAAAGGGTTCAGCCCAAGCCTCAAAATACAGGCAGGCATGGGAGCCTTAAGTGGTGACCTGGAGATAGAATTTATTCTAAGAAGATGGGGGTAAGGGAAGTGACAGGAAGGGCTAGCTGTGTGTGTGTGCCTGCCTGCGTGAGGGAGCAGGAGAAGAAAGCAGACTCGTGCTAAAGCCGTAGATGTGGCAGCACCTGCATCCATTGGTGGCAGCAGGCAGGGCCCAGCTGTCCCCAGGCATCCTCTGGTCCCTGCATAAAGTGGGAATGGAGGGGGGCACCTGTGGGCTAAACCATAGGTGGTGACTCAGGCCTGGCTATTTTTGGGTGCCAGCTGGAAGCAGCGTGATGGGCAAACTGGAGCCAGGAAGGGGGTGGGTGGGCGGGTAAAGTTGGCACTGAGCCCTGGCACCCCTCTCCCTGGTCACCCCCATCCTCCATAAGGAGCCAAGGCAGCAGGGGACACAGTGGGTCGGGACAACTTGGCCTCACGTCTACCTGCGGCACATCCACCCCATCGCGTACTCACTCAGTGGGACGCCCATCAATGCTGCTGAACAGCTCCCGCAGCTCTCCTGGGCTGAGAACCCCATCGGCAAAGTAATTCTGGAATTCTTCAAACGAGAGCTTACCATCATCTGGGGGGATGGGGGACAGAGAGCAGAGTAAGTATCCCTGACCCCTGGCTGTACTCCTGCCACCAGGTCCAGGCCCACCAAAGGCCTCGCAGCACATCACAACCACCCAGCCAGGTGGAATGCGATTGCGAGCTTGGTGGGGAGCCTGGCTGTTGGAGACAAAAGGGCTGGGGCCCCCAGAGGTGCCCACTTAAGATAACAGGCACCCAAGGAACAGGGCTGTACATGTGTGGCATTGGGTAGGGACTCAATAAATGTCTGCCAAATGAAGAAACAAATGAACAATAGCCTAGGATACAGGCAGATCACAGCAGGGCCTAGACATCCCTTGGAGGACTGGAATCTGGCCCGAGTCTCTGCCCCAAATGCTGGCCAGCCTGGCTCCAGTTCCATGCTCTGGAACCAGGCTCCTCTCGAGAAAACGACAGAGTCAGATGAGATCTTCCTAAGAGTTGGAGCCCCTGTAAGAAGCAGCCAGACTGGCTCAGGAGGAAATGACCATCACAGGGGACATGTAGCAGAGGCTGAGAGCATAAGCGTGATGGCCAAAGACACTGGGGATTTGACCTGCAAGGTCTCTAAGTAGATGAGATGGGGAGAGTGGAGCTGGGGGAGGGTCTGAGCTTCCCCAGACAGAATGCTGTGATCCAAATGGGACCATGTGTCCGGATCAACAGGTTGGGACTAATGGTCTCCACCAATTTGGAAAGACCTGGGGAGAAGGGGCAAGGAGAGGGATACAAGCCTGTCTTGAGGGGGCTGAAACATAAACAGGTCTGAAGACCGCAGGTGAAAGGAGGTCAAGGCTGACAGGCTATCTCAGTTCAGACCCTCCACTAGCCAATCAGGGCACCGCTGGCTGCTCCGAGTCATCTATGGGCAGCAACCTGCTTGCAGGGTTCCCTAACGGCTCCTGCTTTAGCTTTGAAGGTTTTCCCGGACCCGGGTATGAGACTGCCCAGGACGAAGGGCAGGAGGAGCCAATTCCCTGGACCCATCTTTAGCATGCCCAAGCCCTCCCTGGGTCCAGATGGTTGGTCATATGGAAAGTTACTGAGCCCTCTAAAATCTAAGATAAAATCCCCCACAGGGCCTCATATCCATGACCTCGCCAGTCCAAAGCCCCTCACACAGGTAGCCTTGGACCAAGCATCATAAAGACCAGGATTCAAGACCCACCATATAAAGGCTGTGTGACCTCAGGCAGCCTGCTTCACCTCTCTGGGCCTCTGCTCCTTTGTCTGTGAAATGGGGTGAAGAACTCTCATCTAGCTGGCAGCTTCGAGGACAACATGAGGTCATACATGGGAAGTACTGACCACAGGGCCCTGCCAGAAAGTAAGCTCCCACCTCCAGCCTCTGGCTAAACCACATTCCCTCTACTCTCCATCCTGCCAAACTTGATTCAAAATAGCACTTCCTCCAAGAAGGATGTCTTGGTTGATTCTCCTGATTTAGGTCCCCCAAAGATTCTTCTCCATTCTACACTGTGTCTCTAAACCCCCCACCATCCCCTGAGCCTCTATGATGTCCCTTGCCCTTCCCCCAACTGTGGGACCAGGGAAGCCACACTCACCATTCTTGTCTGCTCTGCGGAAAACCTGGAGGACAAAAGGGCACGGATGAGAGCTGTGAGAGGAGCCTGGGAGGTAGGAGGCCCCTACCCAACTCAACAGGGCCCCAGCTGGCCAGCCTGCTCCCTGCATCGCCCTTCCTCCTGCTCAGCCTAGTCCCAACCCCCTGCCCAGCTCTGCCCTGCAGGAGCTTTTCCAACAAGGGGAGCACAGGAAGAGCACACAGCAGGCCCCACTGCTTGCTCACTTCTCCTGCAGGGCCTGGCCTTGTGGGGGGTGCTCCAGGCCAGGTCTCTGCACCTTCACCTCCCACACCAAGTCCAACCCGAGTTTTGTCTGATGCATCCGCCCTTGGAACAGTCCCAGTTTGAGGAAAGTAGGGAGATGGGCCAAGATGCAGCCTGAGGATCCTGGGCACCCATCCCAGACCTGAATCCCAACTCTGCTGTGTGATTCTGGTCTGTCCCAGACTCTGCCTGCTCCGGGCTGTTTCCCTGTGAGCTTGTTGAAGACCCCGGCTAGTCCTTTCTTTGTGGGTATCTGTTTTCCCACTAGCACATGGGGGATAGCCCAGGGTTAACCCTTCCAGGGCTGGGCTTTCTATGAGGCCAGCTCAGTATGAGGGTCTTGTCTTGGGCAGGCCCATGCGCATATGGCTATGTTTGTGTGTGTGTCTGTGTGTGCGCGTGCATGCAGGGAGGAGTAAGCGTGGTGGAAAGCAAGAGTGGACAGATTGTATTTATGGAGAAGCTTTCAACAACAGAGGCAGGCAGAGCAGAGCAGAGTAAAGACATAGTCCCTGCTTCTTCTAGGGACCAGAGACTCTTGGGTCACACAAAGCAACCAAGCAAACAGGAAACCAGCAGGCCTGGTAAGGAGGGGCAGGCCAAAGCCTGGACAGAGAGCTCCTATCAGCTCCAGGTCATGACCACCTCTCCCCTCTGGCTATTTTCTCAGGTCAGTGAGGCTCAGAGATAAATCTAATCCCCAGCCAAAAGCCTGACTCAAGAGAAGGTCTGCCACCGGCTTAGGGTCACATAGCAGTCCAGTGTGGCCTGGCTGGGGCAGCTGGAGATACTGGCGGGGAATAGTGGGGGGTGCGGTGCTAAGCTGGGAAAGAGGACACCTAGAGCCACACCCTAGTGTGCCCCTGCCTCCATGCATGATAGACATTTCCCTAACCCTCTAGGCCTTGGTTTTTCCATCTGGGAAGTGGGAAGGTCAGGTCCCTTTCAGCCTGGAGGATTGTGGCCAAGGTGCTGAGTCACTAGGGACAGTGGGGAGGGGGCGGGACTACAGCTTTTTCCCCTGGCAGGAACCTCCTGGAGTAGGGGCATGAGAGGACAGGGTGCTGACACTAGGGTGAAAGGTGGGGAAAGGGCTCAGGGGAGTGACTGAGGTCGGGCCAGGCTGCTCCCAGCTAGTGTCCACGGGAGCTGCAGGACCACCTGCCTGCCAGGGCAGGGTATACAGATCACAGAGGATGACTGTGGGCAGCCCTGACCAACTGTGGGATCCCACCGTCCCCGGGTTAGATCTTAAGGACTTGGGTCAGCACGAGGTCAGGAGTCAGGGGGCTGCTTCCTCCTCCAGGCCACCTTGCCCGGGTCAGCCCAGCCTGGGGCTGCCAGAGAGGGGCACCATGACTGCTTCTATGATCAAGTGTTGACACCCCCAACCCGGCCAAGACACATGCATGGGGTGGGTTCAGGGTTGGGGCAGCAAGCACAGTAACACTGAACCAGAGACAAGGAGGGAAAGTGAAAGACAGAGAATGGGATAAAAAGGCAGAGAGATAAATATAAGGGAGACATACAGACACAGAGACGGCAGGGTCTGGGAGAGCTAGGGAGAGAGATGGAGACTCAGAGACAAGAGGCAGGGCCCCCAACAGACCTGGAGCGAGAGACACGGACATAGAGGGAAAAACAGTGAAAAAGCCGCAGAGACAGAACCAAGGAGAGACAGAGTCCTCAGGGAGAGGTATGACAGAGACCTGGAGATACACTGAGAGAGACAGCCGACCACCCCCACGGCCGTAGCGTCGGCGCCCCAGGCCCGCTCCCGACTCACGTCCTGGAACAGTGCGTGTCCGGCGGGCCCAGCGGCGGGCGCGGGCGCCGGGGGCCGCGGGTGTTCTGGCGCGGGCGGCCGGATCAGGCACACGTGAGCAGCCCCGCGCACGCCATGCACCGCCACCCGCTCGGCTCCGGTTCGGCTGAGGCTCCGGGATCTGGACGCTGCCACCGCCGCCGCCGCGGACTTCGGGGGATGAGAAGGAGCGGCGCCCACCCTGTCGGCGCCGGCGCGGAGGCTGAGGGCCCCGCCCCCCGCGGCTCCGCCTCCGTCCCCGCCCCACCGGCCGGCGAGCTTGGCCGTCTGCCAGCCCCTATGCTTTCCAGTCTGGAAAAGGGGAGCAAACTCTAGCCTTTAGCGGGGTGCCAACGCCGCGCAATGCAGAACCCCAACACCGTTCGCCTCCGTAGTTCCCCACCTCCCGGAGGGGTGGGCAGTGCAGAGTTAGGAACCACTCAAGGAGTCATTTCCACTGGGGACAGGCTGCGTAAATGATGGTCAGCTTGGCGTACTACACAGCCTGGAACAAAATGGGAAGGGCTACGCGTCACACCCCCGACCCCGCCAGGGCAAGTCTCGCTCGACTGTGGGTCAACAAAGCAAACTGCAGGGGCACAAGGGCGCCACCTGGTGGGTAAAACCTGAAAATGCCTTCCCCTCTGAGTATCCTCTTCTGCAAAAGGTAATCGTAGTCACCTCATAGAATTGTGGGGGCTGAATGACAGTAAAAGGGGTTAAAGTAGAGGCTGGCTCAGCGAAAGCCCACCTAAGGGTCGTGTAGATCGTCTCGCAGTACCCTCCCCTCCACTTTCAAGCTCAACTCAGCCTTCTCTTTCCCCTCTACTCTGCTGTTCTAGCTCCCTCTTCAATCCATCCTCTACACAGCAGAGGGAGTTTTAAAATATAAAACTAGACATGTCGCTCTTGTCTCAGACTCACCAGGGCCCTTGTCCCCTGAATAAGCCAAAGACTGAACTTCTCTCCACTTTGGTCCTCACCTCAGGGTTCCAGTCACACTGGTTTCTCTCAGGTTGTCTGTGCCCCAGGGCCTTTGCCCATACTGCCCTCTCCTGCTTGGTGTGTTCATTTTCCTCATCACTTAATTTCTACTCTCCTTCAGCTTCAGATCAAGCACCACCTCTTCCAGGAAGCCCTCCCTGATCTTCTCATTTGTCTGCAACTCCTCCAACAGATCCTGAGAGCTTCATGAGGGGAGGAAGCATGTGTCCCCAGAACCTGACACAATCATTCTGTTGTAGTTATCTGCTGCATGTTTACAAATGTCTAGAATCATCTGGAAGGAGCAGAGAAAACTGATCAGAGTGGCCTCTCTGGGGCTGGAGAAAGGAAGGGAGTTCATTTATTACTTTATTAAACAGTTTTTAAATTAAGACATAAAAGGTGATGAAGCCTATCTACCTTGGCTCTGAGGCTCAAATGAAGTGAAACCAAGCAGGGACAGGGGAAACGGAAGTAGAGAATGGGCATTTTCCAGCAACCTTGACCTCTCCCACCCCCAGATTTGCTCCCAGTACATAGTCCCCAAACCGGACCCAAACACCATCAAAATATTTATTAAAACCAAAGCAGAGGGAACAGAGCTGTTAAGAAGGCAAATCAAAGTGCAGATTGGAGGGTGGGGCAGAGCAAGAAGTGGGGTGAAGGGGGGCACTTCAAATGCCACAGGAAGGACCCCTGTGGTCTGGGCTGGGGGGGAGGCCCTTTACCCCACCCCTCCTGCCCACCCTGTCAGTGAAGGTCCCCCACTCACCTCTCCCATCTCACATCCATCCTGGGGGCAGCTGGGGCCCTGCAGAGACCCCATGGGGAGGGAACACCCCCTCGATCCACCCATGGCTGTCAGTCAGTCAGTCTGTCTCCCTCCCTCACTTTCCCAATAAATAAACCACTCAGGCCTCAGCTCCTTCGGAGTGGGACTAAGAACAGCTCAGGGACCCCTGCCCTTGCTCAGGGGCATGGGGAGTCACAGCATCAGCCCCACATCCCTCCTACCCTTTGCTGGTGCCCCAGGCTTGACAAAAAGGCCTTGATAAATAAATAACGCTCCATTAAAGCTTCGATCAGAAAAACCTTTAAGACGACAGAAGTGCTCTCGCTGTCCTGCAAACAAGTAGGCCAAGGCCTTGCGGCCTGGCCTGATCAGCACGCGGGATTCTGGGGGCAGGTGGCCACCCTGGGCCTCGTGGGGCCCCTGGAGCAAGGAGACCAAAAGTGCAGTTAGAGCCCCCAGCACGCGCACACATGGACTCATGCACACACACGTGGACACACTGGGGCGTGTTTGCAGTGCACGCACAGATGTGTTCACCTTCATTCCCCGGTACATGCACACACACATGCTCACACACCACTCACCCCGTGTACACACATGTTGGGTGTTGGGTACATGCACATACACACCACAAACAGAATCCTTCCCTTCCTGGCTTGCTCAGCCTCCTGGCAGTAGCCAGACTCCAGAGCTAGAAGCTTCTGGAGACAGGAGAGAGGGGCATAAATTAAACATTTCCAATTAGGCTAGGAGGACGGCCAGGGGCAGGGGGCTCCAGGGCTGCAGAGACAGGGTGGGCATCTCAGGAGGCCCTGGTCCCCCTAAGCCCCGTCAGAAATCCAGGGGAGTAAGGTCCCCAAAGTCACAGTCGAAGAGGTCTCTGATGCCCTCGCCCTCTTCAAGGCCAAAGTGGTAGTCGAGGGCCTCATGGGGGGGGGATAGGCTGATGAACTCCTCAGGGAGGAGGCCGGAGAAGTCCTCCCGCACATGCTCCAGGAGCGAATCGGCCGCCACCAGCGGGGACAGGCGGTCCTCGTCCGCGGGGGCCCGCAGGCCACCCATCCGGGAAAGCAGAGGTTCTGGGGAGACGGGGGAGCATCACAGGCCGGGGACACCCCGGCAGGGAGGGCAGAGGGGCTGTCATACCTCCCAACCCACCTGGGAGAGGGTCCCTACCCCTCCCCACCCACCCACCCTTCACCCACCTTGCTCCAGGCTGAGTAGGGACTGACTGGGATCCGTGGCAGGGGATGAGGGGGGAGATGATGGTGGTGGTGGCACTGTGGTGGCAGGGTCAGCTGCCCTGTCCTCCTCCCCGGAAGCTGCCCCCTGGGACGGGGTCTTCCCAGGGCTGATCCCGCCCGCACTCTCCTCAGGGCACAGGAAAACGTCGATGGGGCCTTGTTTGCTCTTAAGGGAGATCTGAAAGGTCTGGGTGGAGGCAGCAGGCAGGGTAAACTGAGGCTCTGCTGACCACTATCCCAACCCAACCTGTCCTGGTTGGGTCTAGAGTCCCAGCTCTCACCTCTGAGGAGTCCACGGCTTGAAGCTGGGTCTCGGGAGGGGCCTTGATCACCATGACCATCTGCTCTGCAGGGTCGGCGATGCTACGAAGGTCCTGGCAGGTCACGTAGGCCAGGGTTGGTGGAGTCAAGGACCACATGACCTTTGTCTTTTGGGGACCACCCACCCAGACAGCTCGTAAGGCAGAGCCCACACCTGCCTAGTCACTCTTGTCCTCTCCATCTCCCACCCCAGGGCCTGGCACATAGTTTGTGTTCAAGCCTGTCTCCTGCCCCTGAACCTCAATTTCCATATCTGTACAATGAGACCACCCTCTACCCATCTAATCACAAGGTAATGATGGCTACCTGCAATAATTTCATGTAAATTACTTAACTTCAGTCTTGGTACTGAGAATTTATTCTGACTCATGACCTTGGTGTTAATTAGTGGTTATCTCCAAAATGTATAAACATAATTTGGGTATTCACTTAAAAAAAAGCTTATTTTAAAATAAAGTTTCTATTTTTATAAATAAAAGACAAATAAAAACTTTTGTCTCTAACCTTGAAGCTACAACCATGTACTGAATCACTGTATTAAATAAATGTTATTTCTGGTACTAGCTTTTCTTATTTCAATCTGTACAATTTCAAAATAGGACTATTTTCTCCTTTTACAGATGAAGCTGAAGTTCAGAGAGGTTAAGTAACTTGTCACACAGTGAGTAAATGCTGAGCCAGGACTTGCATCCAAAGTCAGAACCCTCTCCTGAATCCAAGCCCTCGGGGAACCTCTCTATTCCCGCTTGAATGGGGCCATAGCCGCCCTCCAGGCAATTCAAGGATATCGCTGGCTGTCAGCATCCTCGGAAAGCAGACGCAGCTGTGTGGTGCAGATATGGATCAGGTGGTCCAGCTGCCGCTCGCTCTCCTGCAGTTGCCGGAGGTCCTGGGTCAGTCCTTCAAGCCGCCCACCAATCCCCACTGCTGCGTGGCTGCCTCTGCAGGGAGGCAAAGGGAGGGTTAGCAGCTCGCAGGCCTTCTGCCCAGGAGCTCTGACCCTCAGCAACCAGTCTGCTGCTGCCTCTGTTCTGTGAGACCCAGGTGAGCCCTTGCTCCTCTTTGGGCCTGGCTCCTCAGCTGGGAAACAGCAAAGGGCTGAAGCTGGGCTCCGAGGCAGAATGGCTAGGTTCAAAGTCGGGCCTGAATGTTTGTGAACACCCACGCATTCCTCATGAGGGGCTGGATAACTAAATGATGGCACAGACATGCCATGGAACACTATGCAGCTGTTTAAAAAGATGAGGCATTAGAGGCAAACACAGAAGCATTTCTAAGACATGTCGAGTGGAAAAAAGAGATGCAGAATGGATTATTTACGAAAAATGAAAAGGCAAATGTGTCAGAGAGAGAGAGTAAGATGACCAGAGAAAGAGGTGAGAAGAGAAAAAAACAAGAATTAACAAGAATAAGACAGCTATGTTAGACAATCTCATCAATGGTAATGGAAACCAGGACAGCGGTCACCTGGTGGAATGAGGTGGAGAACGTCTGGGGAGGGGCACAAGGGAGCTTTCTGGGGTGTTGTAAATGTCCATTATGCTAATTCACATGGTGGTTACCCAGGTGAAAACATATGTAAAGTCACACTGAGCTGGATACGTAAGATATGTGTTCCTTCCTGCACCTGTCACCTCAGGGAAGCCTCAGTTTGGAGCTATAGGATGAGGATGCAGGCAGTCACAGTGGGTACTGCCATCAGCTTCTCCAGACTGGCCCAGACCCAGACCTCTGCCCACCCCGTTAAGCTGGTACCTACAGCCACTGGATGTGATTCTTGGACTTCTTGGCAATGAGCTGGATGCCCTCGAGGACGTTGGTGATGTCGTAGATGCGCCGTTTCTGCACTTTCAGCACCTCCGCTGCCCAGTTCAGGTCGACAACACCATCAGCCGAGCGGCTCAGCAACTCCAGGAAGCGTTTGGTGGTCAGATTCAGCGATGTCTCATAGCGTGACTTCTCCCCTGGCGATTTCACACCTGGGGAGCCAAGCAGGGCACGGTCCCTCAGCACCACCCCCAGCCAGACTGGCCTCCCTGGCAAGGCAGGGAAGGAGGATGGGGGTGGGGGGCAGGTGGCTCCTTCCCCTTGGTGAGGCCAAGCAGGGAGGCCCTGTGGCTGCTGTCTGCCAACCACAGCAATCCTCTTTCGGCCGGGCAACTCCCCACCCCCCAGGGCTT